TCATCCGCCATAAAAGGTGTGCCCTCCCAGGGTCTCTCCAACCCGGCTCTGCCCCCTTGGTAGGGACTGTATTCTCTTCTTGGGTTAAGGCGCGTGCCCGTGCCGGGATTTTTTTCTTTCCCACGTGCTGGTTTAAGGGAAGAAAGGAACAAACTCACCAGAGGCGTCTCTCTGCTTTGGAATGTGTGGGATGTGCTTGACCCCCGTGAGCAGCTCAAAAGTTCCTCTCAGATTTGGATAATTGCTCTTAACACATGCGGACAATGTGGGGAGTTTGGGGACCTTGGTTTGGGGAAAATGTACCCCTGGGACGATTTCTGTTCTAACACAAATTTTCTAAACTGAATTCTGTTCAGCTTGGCTTGTGGAGGGGACTCAGTACTGTAAACACGTGGGGCAAAGGAACATATAGTGAGTGATGATTCACACCTGTGATCAACGCGCTTGGGAGGCCAAGGTGGGAGGGTTGACAGGCCAGCCTGGGCTCCACGGTGAGATCCTGTCTCCAGACAGAAGGCGGGGGGGGGGACGACAAAAAGAGTACATTTTCCATAAAACAACCACTCCTGTCCCATTGTGACAGTCTAAGTTTAATGTAATATTGGGGTAGACTCAGTATTTGTATTACTGTGATGACACTTATATTAAGCTGGGTTTTGCCTTACAATCAAAAACTTTGATTTTTGCATCTGGGCTGTGTGTACTGAGCATCTCACACATTTTCCCTTTATTGTCTCATTGGCCAGTTCTATTAGTAGGAATAAAAAATGCCAGACCTCAAATTTGATTCAGTAATATGGGTATTAAAGAGAAGAGAGAAAGCATAGCGTGATGGCTCACTCCTAGAACCCCTAGCATTTGGGATGCTAAGACAGGAAGATTTTCATGAGTCTGAGGCCAGCTGGGTTACAGAGTGAGTTCCAGGCCAGCCTGGGCCATAGACCTTATCTCGAAGAACAAAAACTAACAACAAAATAGTGAGGCTCCTTTTCCTACACGAATCGTATGTCCAAATCTATGCGGATTAGCCTCTGGGTGGACACAGGGTGTGTCCTCCAAACCTGTGATTTCCTTGACTCTACGCCAGGAAGGTGACTGCAGATGATGGTCCCAGGGAAGCAGAAAATGGAGACAGTTTTTGTGGTTTCAGACAGAGGTTAACTTCAAATTTATGGACCTCCTAGCTTGGCTTCCTGGGCCAGGATCACCATGAAGCGCCATTTTTCTTGGAGGTGGGAGATACTCCAGGAACAGCAAGTCAGGCTAGAAATCAGAGGCCAGCTGCAGCAGGTTAGTTAGTTTGGGAAAGGCTCAAACCTGAAACTACCCTTCTGGAGGAGCTTTGTCAGGAGAGCGAACCTAACTACCCTGGGGACATGACTAGGTCTTGAAGTGGGAGAGCATTATGAGAGATAAAGCCTTGTACCCAGGGGTAGCATGCAGAGGCCCTGAAGAGAGAGAGCGCCTTCCTTCAAAATCCTGGAGAGGTACTTCATTAGGAGCGAGCCTCAGTGTGCAGCGTATGGGGGTCCTGAAGAAAAGCCATCTGGTCCTAGATTTTCGGACGTGGATAGGTTTTCATGAGGTAGCAGGAAGTTCCAACCATGTGATTTAGTCTAGCATGGTCCACTTGATTCCTGGCATTACATGGAACCAGGTACTAGATGGCACCAAGACCTTATCTTGCAGTTGCAAAGCAGGAGGGTCTGCAAGGCCACAGCACAGCAGGGCTTCTTCCCTTAGCCCAGAGAGGAGGAGAGTGGTGTGTGTGTGTGTGTGTGTGTGTGTGTGTGTGTGTGTGTGTGTTTGGCTGAATTTCTGGGAGAGAAAGGCAACTATAGGGTCTGGGAGCTAAAAGTGAAGTGTCCCTACTCATGCAAGTCCAAGTGCTTGCTCTTTGATCTGTTCCTGGTGTCATTGCTTAATGCTAAGTGCCTTGGATGACACTTCTGTGGCTGAAGGAAGAGGCCAGAGAAGGGCCCCCAGTGTCACCAGCATAAGGGCTCTGGTGCAAAGGGCCCTGAGAATACCTCTGAGGGATGTTCAGGAGGATAGCCTTGATAGACACCAAGTGGGAGGCAAGGTGGGGTTTCCTGCTGGTCCTGGTGGCACACGCCTGTGATCCCAGCACTTGGGAGGAGAGTCAGGTGGATCTCTGTGAGTTTGAGGCCAGCCTGATCTACAGGGGAGTCCAGGACAGCCAGGCTACACAGAGAAAGCCTGTCTCAAAAAACCAAGTAAATAAATATAAAGATGGGGTTTCCTATTCTTAGGGGCCTTGTGTTCCTGGACAGGGAGTCCCCTTGCTCTTTTCTCACTCTTAGTGTCCTGAGAGCCCTCTGTCACTCCCCATAGGCCATCTTTGCTGACAGAGATGCATTTTGAACAGCCCCCACTTCTTGGTAAAGCATATTAGTGGGGTAGCTGAATCACTGCAGAAGGGAGGGGCTTCCTCCCTCGGGTGATGAGGCTGTGTCAGACCCCAGTACTTTTCCTCTGCAGCTGTGGCCTTGCCCAGCTTCTCATTTTTAGAGATTATGTGTTTTTGTGTTGGAGGAATGTTTGTGTCTGTTTGCACGCCTATCAGGACTGGCATTTTGTGTTTCTTACACAGGAGTATCTTCTGTGATCCTAAGTGTGTGATGTTAGGGATTAGAAAGCTCAGAATGGAAAATATTTAACGTTCGAGAGTAGTAGATGAACACAAGGTACCATTTGCATTTTCCCTTTCGCTCTGACTCATCTTCCCCCATCTCCGCCCTATTGCCCCTTCACCAGCCTCATCCACCGGACACACCCTGTCTGATCTTGGAGGTTCAACACCTGCCTGCCCCCAAACTAGGATGGGAAAGAAGGCATCCTAGGCCAGAGGGGAGACAGTAAAGGAAGGCTGGCCCTGGAGAAAAGCAAATCTTACTATCAGCCTTTGTGTCTAGGGGCCAGAGTCTAGGGAGAAACCTCTGGGGACTCAAGTTGATTGTCACCATGGCAGCTTATCAGTGTCTGATTTGTTTTTCTTCTTGTTATTTATTGTATCTACATGACATTTTAGACACATGCCACATATTTCTCAAATATCTGTAAGTGAATGCAAAGATAAGCTTAAGGATCAGATTGATAGAATGGTGAGAAAGGGAGGAAGGGAGAAATGGAGGGAGAGAGAGAGAGAGAGAGAGAGAGAGAGAGGCTGAAAGTGTGAAAATAGTGGGAGCTCTCCAGGGACCTTGACCCCTTGAGCAGAAAGTGAAAGAAAACCCTGGTTTTGATTTCAGAGAAATGTCATTTGTCATCAGCCCAGGAAAAGGAGATTTTTCTCTTCGAAGACCACCACAGGCTTCCTGGGGTTGCCCCTCAGAGTCTGCCGGGAGAATCTGAGTCACACACACCCAGTCCTTGCTGTGGTCCAGAGGACAAGGGTCAGTCTCTAAGTGAGGCTTGCTGTCCTCATCAGAGGGAGAGGCTTGGCCTTTCATCTCCCCCTGCTTCAGATGCTGTTTCTATCCTTATACTTCTAAGGCCTCATAAATGGCCTCCAGCTACTCCACGCTTCTGTCACCTCCAGGACGCAGAACTAATGGCAGCTGAATGCTGTGCTGTACTCACAGACCACTTCCTCATGCATGGCATCAGTTTCACCCCCGCCTCCCAAGCAGACCACTGGTTTTGGATGGCTGAGGTGACTCCATTTCCAAGTCCCTGTCAGCACACATTCACGTCTGACTAGAAGGAGTGATCAGAGTTCGGTGAGGAGGCAGTTCGGGCTGTTCAAGGTAGCTGGGTGTCTCTCTGGATGCTCTTAAGCAGAGGCAGAGTAAAGCCACACCCCTTTAAGGGTACTGTGTGATACTTGGGATGGCTGAGGGCGGGGGGTGGGGCTAGCTGGGGTGGGGGCCAGGCAGGAGCCCTAAGAGCAGTAGAGAGCATGCGGTACTAGCAGGCGGCTACAGAGGTGAGTTCACTGTGTCTCCCCCAGCTCAGGATTTCCTCCCTTCTAGCTCTCCTTCCCACTCCCTGCCCACCTGCACCCCTCACCCCAAGGTGTCCAAGAAGCAGCCCTTCCTCAGCCAGGGCTGCTTACCATGGAGAGGCTGCTCAGAGTGCTAGGCCTGCTAGGTGCTAAGACACTCAGGCTATTTCTCTTTCTGTCTTGGCCTCCAGTACTCTGGGAGGTCTGCGTGATGATGGGTTTGATGTGTAATTAAACTATGGACTCTTTTGTTGGACTCTTTCTGGTTTTCATTTTTTGGCTTATGAGAAGCAGAAATCAAACCATTCTTTATCCTCGTTTGGAGAGGAAATAGCTTCTCCTTCTCCAGTTTCCTTCCTTCCTCTCACTTCCACAGGCATCAAAGCCTTCTCTAAGACTCCTGTGTGGCACTCTGAACTCACTGCCTGGAATCTCTGGTCTTTTCTAATTCCTCCTCTGAGGGTGTGTTTGTTCTAGAACTTGAGCCTTGGAGAGGCACGATGCCCTAGAGTCTGCTCTGCTGCCATGTGACCTGTTTTCTGCCTTCTCTGGTTTTCTGGGCTCACATTGGGGGAGGACCCACAAGCTTTTTGAATTCTCATGAAGTTACGTCTTACTCTATTCCTAAACGCCAAGCTCTGTGTGAAGTGAGGAAAAGCCAGAATGCTCAGAGGGCTTTCCCTGCAAAAGAGCGTGGGCAAAGCAGACACCTTCCGTCTGGAAGGTGTGCCAGCTGTGCCAGTCCTGAACCCGCTCCCTGAGACTCTGCTGGCTGCCTGGCTCTTGCTCGTCAGGCCCCGAACCTGATCCAGGGTGCACTGTCCTGCTGCCACTTCCCCACAGCTTGCCTTTGCCTTAGTTTATTTGCTTCATTCAGGTCGACAGTTCCAGTCTAGGACCAGAGACTCATTCCTTCTCCCTTCCCCTCCACAGGCCTGAGAGCATGCGGTTTTTCCTTCCCCATCCTGCCATGGATCCCCCCATTGGGGCTTTTCTCTCAGAGCCTCTGAAACTGGTAGATTAGCCAGGAGCAATGCCCCACACCCCGACAAGGCTAATCAGCCCCTATGGCTCTGATAGGTTGGTGCAGTTAGCCGCTAGGCTCCGGCCAGCGTTGTGTGATACCCTGATCACTGTAGGCGGCCTGGAGTTCCCTGCTCACAGCCTGGTGCTGGCAGGTGCAAGCCCAAAGCTGGGTTTCGGGGGCCGGTGGGCTCTGGTTGAAGGCATCAGCCCTTCCACCTTTGCTCAGCTTCTGACCTTTGTGTATGGAGACAATGTAGAGCTGCAGCCTGGGGAGCTGGGGAACCTTGAAGAGGCAGCCAGAGCCTTGGGGGTGCAGGCCCTGGAAGAAGCCTGTAAGAGAGCACGAGAGGAGAAGCATGAAGATGAGCTGGACCCAGGACTGAAGAGGCACCAGCAAGCAGAAGAGCTCGTGAGGAGCTCTGAGAGAGGACTGGGGGGTCCTGGAGAGAACCAGAAACCAGAGGAGGATTTTAGAAGTAATGGGAGACAGCAGGAGATGTCACACAAGCACAGAGCACCCAGAAAGAGCCCTGAGACACAGGGAGAGGCACTCAGCCCAGCCCCCGTGAGCGAGGTCGCGAGAGGTAGAGCGAGCAGCAAGGGCTCTGAGGAGTGGCTTCGTGGGTGCCCTGGTCCCCTCTCCCCACCAGGCTCCCTCCTAACTAGCCTCATTGCCAGGCCCTGGTGGGCTGAGGCCCCTTGGTTGGGGGAGGGCCAACCTGCCCTGTGGAGCATCCTGCTGTGGCCGCCCAGATACGGCAGTCCCTTCTCCCATAGCACCCCCATCACTGCGGCCTGGCGGGGCTGGCCTCAGGAGCAGAGGTGAGTGAAGGGCTGAGTGGAAGCTATCAAAGCTGGGAGGGAGCGGCTCAGGAGAGGCAGCAGTGATGGGTGGAAGGGCACCATGTGCCCTTCCGGCACTGTACAGTTCCTGAGTTACAGACAAAACATTCCCATCACGAGAGAGGCCAGAGTTGGTTAGGTTCTTGGGCTTTGCCAAGGCTGTAATTCTTCTCCACCCAGGATCCCACTGACCTTGAACCGCTCCAAAGGTCTCTGGAGTCAGAATCAGCTGGCCTACTCCAGCTCCACTCCAGGTAAGCCCCTCATTACTCCACACAGGGCTCTGCCAAGTGGCTGGGCTCCGGGAGTACAGCCTTAGCAGGGCCCCTACTTCACTCTGCTTCCAGGATCCTTTCCCCGGGGCCTTCAAAAACTCAGCCCTTGGGAGATAGAAGAGTCCGGGCAAGGGTACACAGGTAAGTATGAGGAGAGAACTGCTGTCCCCGCCCCCAACAACAAAAAGCTCTTAATGGCTTCCCCGGACAATATTGATTTATCCTCAGGGATTCTGGTCCGTCTTGACTTCTCTGTCCACACAGGCACAGTGGCGACTGTTGTGGGTCAAGAACGCTCCCCATCTCACCAGCATCCTCCTTCCCCCTCTCCTGCGCGTTCTCGGCCCTATTCTTGCTCTGTCTGTGGAAAGAGGTTTTCACTCAAGCATCAGATGGAGACGCATTACCGAGTCCACACAGGTATGGGCATCCTGCCCGGTGTGAATTTGTCTTCTTCCGTTTCCATCGCTGATCTGCCAGTTCCTCCCTCGCCCCATTGCTCCACACACCCCTAGCTTGGCCAACCTTCACCCATTTCTTCCTTCTCTGGCTTTCTCCTCCAACTGTAGGAGAGAAGCCCTTCTCCTGTAGCCTCTGTCCACAGCGCTCCCGGGATTTCTCTGCCATGACCAAGCATCTGAGGACACATGGGGCTGCTCCCTATCGCTGCCCTCTATGCAAGGTTGGCTGCCCTAGCCTGGCTTCCATGCAGGCGCACATGCGGGGCCACTCGCCGAGCCAGCTGCCGCCTGGATGGACCATACGCTCCACCTTCCTCTACTCTTCCTCTCGGCCGACGAGGGCCTCCATCTCTCCCGGGAGCCCTTCCTCCCCCTCTGCCACCTGACCCGGTGCTGGCAGCTTCTCTGGCTTAGCAAGAATCCAACTAAAGAATGTGAGATGGGAGGACTCAGCCGCCTAGCAAATTTGACTGCAGAAGCGCTGCCGGACAGGAGCCCCGAACTCTTTCTGGATGAGCGAGGGTTGCAGAAGTCTCGGCCGGCTGGCGAGCCCGAGTTAAGGACGTACCAGTTGGTGAAGATTAACTGAGGACTATCGATTTCATCACTATAATAAAGAGTTTCCTATGCTCGCCAGTGAGGATGAGTCCGACTTTTCGTCCGCGCTGGGGGCTCCCACCCTTGCCACTGTCCTGTAGCGGCCCCTGCTGGCCATCAGCCACATACTAAACAGAGGGTCAAATATTTCATTTCCGGTAGCTCCGTATAATTCCCGAGCGCAGCGCGCCGCAAGGGCGCTCCGGCCCCTGTAAGAGGAGGGTGGCATGTGAGCCTCCCCCCAACACTCTGGCCCCTTGTTAGCAACGCACCGCGCGCGTACTACAGGGTTAGAGAGGAGCGCAGATTCAGGTCCCGATTTCGACCACCCGTCTGCTCTCCTCCGAGTGATGGTCGGGACCAGCCTCTCCAGCATCTTCCCCCCGCGCCGGGCAAGCGGCTGCCGGGTGGCCCCTGGAAGTGAGGCTAACCCAGCGCCACCGCCCTTCCCTCAGCCCACGGCTGGCGCGGTAGCTAACTTCATTTGCTGGTGTTGTCAGTGGGGTTCCCAGGGTCCGAAGCCAGCAGTACCCTGGGAAGGGTAGTCCATGCAGGTGGCTAGCTCCGACCAGAACAATGGGAGGAGCCTGAACAAGGGCCACACCTCCTCGAGACCACGAACTGGCTCTCCAGGCTCCTGGTCGCGGTCGGCGATCCTGTAGTTCCAGCTCTCCCGCCCTAGCTGTCGGCGGAAGGAGCAAGGCGACGGGACTACATTTCCCAGAAGACCTTGCGCCTCCCGCTCTCAGGCCGCGACTCACGGTCGGCTCTCCAGGTGCGGTCTGAGGCTGAGGGCCGGCCGGCCCCGGACTCCTGCTCCCGTGGTGCCCCGCGCGTGGCCAGCCCAGCCCCCGGCTCCTGCCACCCCGTCGCGGCGCTGGTTGTTGTCGTGAGCCGCAGCCGCCCCGCTTCGCCCCTCCTCTCCTCCCCTCCCCCCGGCCTTGCGCACGGGCCGCCCCTCCCCCCGCCTCCCCGGCCCCTCTCACGGTGCCAAGATGGCGGCGGCGGCGGGCGGCGGCAGTTGCCCCGGGCCTGGCTCCGCTCGGGGCCGCTTCCCTGGCCGGCCGCGGGGCTCCGGCGGGGGCGGGGGCCGCGGCGGCCGAGGCAGCGGAGCCGAAAGAGTGCGGGTAGCCCTGCGGCGCGGCGCGGCGGGGCCGGGAGGAGCCGAGCCCGGGGAGGACACGGCCCTGCTCCGTTTGCTGGGTCTCCGCCGGGGCCTGCGCCGGCTCCGCCGCCTGTGGGCTGGTGCGCGCGTTCAGCGAGGCCGGGGCCGGGGCCGGGGCCGGGGCTGGGGCCCGAACCGGGGCAGCATGCCGGAGGAAGAGAGCAGTGACGGGGAATCCGAGGAGGAGGTGAGGCGGTCGGAGGCGTCTCCAGCGCCGGGTGGGGCGGAGGCCAGGGGCTTGCAGGGCTCCGGGTAGCTCCGAAGGGTCTTGGGGACAAGTGGGATTCTTGAGGCTTCTGGAAAGAAGCATGAAGGAAGCATGGCTGTGTGGAGCTTTCGGGTGCTAAGGCCTTAGAAAGTGGTCGGAGAAACCCTGACTGCAGTAGACGGCTCCAGGCGAGCCCTGCCGGTGTCCTGAGCTGATCTTTCGCGGTAGCAGAGCAGGAGAGGAGTGGGTGAAGAGGCCATAGGGATTGCATGCCTGACCAGTGGTGGTTGACAGCGGCGGCGTGGCCTTGATTGACCAAGGCTAGAGCCTCCTGGGCTCTACCTGCAGGCTGCCTTCTTGGGCCTTATGATCCGCGACACATCCCTGGTTTCACCAGTGCCCCAGTTGCTCCTTGGTTCTGAGGTGGAGAGTGGTGGAGGCTTCTTGGGGCACGGGTTGAAGAGGGATAGAATGAATGCTGAGTCTTGAGTCTGGAGTGAGTGCAGTCAAGGTTCATCCCTCTCAGCCTTTCCGAAAAAAGGCAGGAGGGTGTGTGGATTATATTGCTTAGGAGAGCTAGTAGTCCTCTGAGGGCTCAGAATGGATTGTAATATGATAAACCACCTGCTCCACCCCTCATTCCCCCCAACACACTGCCCATTCCCATTTGTGAAAATCCTGGAAGGGTGTGAATGGAGGACCTGCTTTGTATTAAGTTGGAATTAGCCCTCGTTGTAATGCCCATTGCTTAGCTGGTGGAGGACCCTCTAGTGTTTTCTTCTGGGCTGTGCTCGTATGGTCTGGTTAAAGAGCGTCTCGTCCCTTCGTTTCTTCTGACCTTGCCTCAGTCTTTTAAGTTCTTTGGGAAATGAGAAGCAGGTTTAGGTGGAAGCTAAGTGTTATATCCTCAACACTTGAAACCCAGGTGGAACCAGGGCTTTGCCACTGACTGCTGTTTCTCCCCTTCACCCCTGGTCCCCTAAATCAGGAGTTTCAGGGTTTTCATTCAGATGAAGATGTGGCCCCCAGTTCCCTGCGCTCTGCGCTCCGATCCCAGCGAGGTGAGTGATGGGGAAACTCTACCTCTCCAGTGTTATGGGAAGGTTCTTGCCTTTTGTGTCAGCTCTTTGCTGTTCAGCTAGTCTCCACCAGTTCCTGAGTGTGCCCTGTGTTCAGAGATCCAAGCTAGCCTGGGCTTTGGGAGAAACAGACAAGGAAGACTTAGTAGCCTGCCCTTCTGGGGTGCTTTCCTGAAGTCTACAGGGCCAGCTTGACCCCTGTTCCCACAACTATTCTCCTTTTAGGTCGAGCCCCCAGGGGTCGGGGCCGCAAGCATAAGACGACCCCCCTTCCTCCTCCTCGCCTAGCAGATGTGGCTCCTGTCCCCCCAAAGGCCCCTACTCGGAAACGGGGTGAGGAGGGCACAGAACGGATGGTGCAGGCACTGACTGAACTTCTCCGGAGGGCCCAGGCACCCCCAACCCCCCGGAGCCGGGCATGTGAGCCCTCTACTCCCCGTCGGTCTCGGGGAAGGCCCCCAGGACGGCCGGCAGGCCCCTGCCGGAAGAAGCAGCAAGCAGTAGTGGTAGCAGAAGCGGCTGTGACAATCCCTAAACCTGAGCCTCCACCTCCTGTGGTTCCAGTAAAGAACAGAACTGGCAGCTGGAAATGCAAGGAGGGACCTGGTCCAGGACCCGGAACCCCCAAACGTGGGGGGCAGCCTGGGAGAGGAGGCCGTGGAGGCAGGGGCAGAGGCCGAGGCGGACTTCCCCTTATGATCAAGTTTGTTTCAAAGGCCAAAAAAGTGAAGATGGGACAGTTGTCCCAGGGACTAGAATCAGGACAGGGTCATGGTCAACAGGGAGAAAGCTGGCAAGATGCCCCCCAAAGAAGAGATGGAGATGAACAGGAAGGGGCCCCATGTTGGAAGAAGCAGGAGCAGAAATTGGAGGAGGAAGGAGAAGAGAAAGAAGAAAAAGATGCCAATGAGGACAACAACAAACAAGAGAAAGAGGAGACTGAGAGAGCTGTGGCTGAGGAAGAAATGATGCCAGCCAAGAAGGAAGAGGCAAAGCTGCCATCACCGCCCTTGACTCCTCCAGTCCCTTCACCACCACCTCCTCTCCCACCCCCTTCAACATCTCCTCCACCTCCAGCATCCCCCCTACCACCCTCAGTTTCTCCTCCTCCCCTACCTTCCCCTCCCCCACACCCAGCCCCAGAGAAGCAGGAAGAGTCTCCTCCTCTTGTGGTCCCAGCTGCATGCTCTAGGAAGAGGGGCAGGCCTCCCCTAACTCCTACCCAGCGGGCAGAGCGGGAAGCTGCTCGGTCAGGACCAGAGGGCACCTTTTCTCCCACTCCAAACCCCAGCACCACCACAGGAGGCCCTCTGGAAGACAGCCCTACTGTGGCCCCCAAAAGTACCACCTTCTTGAAGAACATACGGCAATTCATTATGCCTGTGGTGAGTGCCCGCTCCTCCCGCGTTATCAAGACACCCCGGCGATTTATGGACGAAGACCCTCCTAAACCTTCAAAGGTGGAGGTTTCTATTGTTCGACCTCCTGTTGCAACCTCCCCACTTGCTCCCCAGGAGCCAGTACCAGTCCCCTCCCCACCTCGTGTCCCAACTCCCCCATCTACCCCAGCCCCACTCCCAGAGAAGAGACGGTCTATCCTAAGGGAGCCCACATTTCGCTGGACCTCACTAACCCGGGAGCTGCCACCACCTCCACCTGCTCCTCCACCACCTGCCCCTGCCACTCCCTCCCGGAGGCCTCTGCTCCTTCGGGCCCCTCAGTTTACTCCAAGTGAAGCCCACCTGAAGATTTATGAATCGGTGCTTACCCCTCCTCCTCTTGGGGCTCCTGAAGCCCCTGAGCCAGAGCTGCCTCCTGCTGATGACTCTCCAGCTGAGTCCGAGCCTAGGGCAGTAGGGCGGACCAACCACCTCAGCTTGCCTCGGTTTGTCCCTGTGGTCACCACTCCTGTTAAGATTGAGGCACCCCCCCATGGAGCTCCAGCTCTGAGCAATGGGCAGCAGCTTCAGGCTCAGGTGCAGCAGCCCCCGCAGGCCTTGCAGACCCAGCTCCTGCCCCAGGCACCGCTACCACCACAGCAACCACAAGTACAGCCACAGGTGCAGCTGCAGCCACTTCCATCACCACAACACACGCCACCACTGGAAAAGGCCCGTGTTGCAAGTCTGGGTCCCCTGCCACTGTCTGGGGTGGAGGAAAAAATGTTTAGCCTCCTTAAGAGAGCTAAGGTGCAGCTATTCAAGATCGATCAACAGCAACAGCAGAAAGTGGCAGCGTCCATGGCGGTGAGTGTGGTGCTTTGAGCAGGCCCCCACGCTCAGTCTGTGTAGCTGGCTCCTGAAACAGTGTTTGGCAGAAACACTCTGGACCACTTTCCCCTTTACCTCCATCCGTTCCTTCCTTGGTCCCATCCCCTCCCTCCCCTATTCCTGTTCCCCCTGGTCCTCACTTTGCAGCCTCTGACCCTGTTATTTCCCCTACCAGCCAAGTTCTGCATTGCAAATCGAAGAAGCTGTGGGCACTGTCAAACAGACCCCAGACAGAGGCTGTGTCAGGTCTGAAGATGAGTCTGTGGAAGCTAAGAGAGATGGAGCCTCGGTATGCAGTGA